TAGATAGCTGAATTTTGATGTTTTTCAACTTTAGCTGATTTACATTATCTAATAAAAAATGAGGTAAAAATACTGAAAACTATTGGTGGTGGTGATGATGATAGAAGAGATACTGTATGATCCAGGGACTAAAATTTTTTATATACAATATTTCATTTTCAGAATAACTCTATAAGGCTGTTATTGTTAGCATGATTTTTTCAGAAGATACAACATTGTAGATAGCGTATAAATTGCCCAAAGTTACATAATTAAGAAATGTTGAACTAAGATTTGATCCTAGGTTTGGCTCATATTCCCTGTATTCCTATCTTCTATAAAATCCTCCTCCCTAAGTAGAATTTATTGACTGCCAACTGTGTTTCAGGCATGCATGTTATTTTTATGTGTTATGTTTGTATATAAAGAGACTATCATGAATACAGCAGTGGTAGATCATTCTCCATTTTTTCTGTTTTCAAATTTCTTGTACTTCTTTGTGACCATATTCTCTATATGCATCATTAGTCATTTGTGACACAGAGTCAAAGGCAGGAATTTTCTAGATATTGCTAGAACAACACTCCAAAGGCATCCAATATCATCCAACTCTTTTAAGTTAAGTTACTGAATACCCTCTTGCTGGTTTATATTTCACCAATGTTGATAATATAGAAGTTGAGGCACAGTAGTGCATAATAAATTTTAATCAGTCAAAAAAATTACAACAGAAGATTATGGTTGCAGGGTTTTACACTAACACGCAGCTTTGTATGTGTGCATGCATATAAATGTGAATATATGCATGTATATGTATACATATGAATATATGCATGTATATGTATGCATATGTATACACACACAGTCTTCATCCAAGTATTACAGGAGCCAATAAATGTTAAAGTGTTACTGATTGTTTTGATTTTCTTTCAGTTAAAATATTTTTGCTTGCCTGACAAGTACTATATATGGGTGGTTTTTGACAGATTATTCATCATGATGATTAGTAGAGCATATAAATCATAAATCAGTAAAAATACACAAACCCTACTAGAAGAAGCACATCTGAGAATTGATTGAAACATATCAAAAGAAAACATTAATCAACATCTGATTCAAATAAAAATTACGTAGTTCAAGGAAAAAGGATTGTCCAAATTTTGGTAGGCAGAAAATAGGGGAAAAAAAGTACAAAGAATCCTCTCTCTCTCTCTCTCTCTCTCTCTCTCTCTCTCTGTCTCTCTCTCTCTGTCTCTCTCTCTGTCTCTCTCTCTGTCTCTCTCCTTCTCCATATGTATATGTCTTTCTCTGAGAATAAAGAGGAAAAATTTAGGCTAAGGTTACAGACTGCATTCTAATCACCTCTTCTGTTTCCTGTAACTATTTTCTTCCATACATAGAGTTCACCCCACTGATCATATTTTGGGAAAAGGAAAAGAGAACCCCAGTGTATTTACTCCAGGCTACTGGGCGGTAGACTTGAAGCAAATGTGTTGAACTGCTCTCCTTTCCCTGGTAATTCAGCCCTAGTAGAACTGGTGTCACTGATTCTTTCTATTTTTATCTTGTCTCTTGCTTTCTTATTTTGTCTCTTTTTGTGTTTGTGTCCACAATTTGGCAGTGATCTTTTGTCAGTCATTGCTGTAGTGAAGAAACTCTCAAGACAAGCTACCTTAACAACCATTCACATACAGATTCCTATGTTTCTAATATGTGCACATTCACAAACTAAAGAATAAGACAGGGAGAGAGAGAGAGTGTGTGTGTGTGTGAGAGAGAGAGAGAGAAGAAATAGAGTGACAGAGAGAGAGAGAGAGAGAGATAGAGAGCGCACAACTGAGAGAATTCACCAAATCATGATCAATGTGTATTATTGATAGATTACTGTATCTACTATGTATCTGATATGTCACTTTCAAATTCACTTAAGATCTAAATTCCTGGCTGAGAGATTATATTGTTTGCTGGCGAAACCCTAAGTAGCAAATGCAATTTCAATGGAAATTCCTATTTAATAAAACTAGTTATGAATCCCATTAGGAGATGAGCTTATTTTAATAAATATTTGCTGTAGCACTGGCTAAGTACAATGAGATGATTTAACCATGTTTTTGAATATAGAGTCATATGTAGCCTAGCAACAGAGACACATTCTGAGAAATGCATCATTAGGTGACTTCATCATTGTGCAACCATCATAGGGTGCACTTAGACAAACCTAGATGGTACAGTGTACTCTCCACCTAGGCTATATATTATAGCCTATTGCTCCTAGGTTACAAACAGGTACAGCATGTATCTCTACTGACTATTGTAGGCAATTATAACACAATGGTAAGTATTTGTGTATCTAAACATATCTAAATATAGAAAAGGTACAGTGAAAGTACAGTATAAAAGATAAAAAATGATACATGGTTTAGGGCAATTACCATGAATGGAGCTTGCAGGACTGAAAGTGGCTCTGAGTGAGTCTTTGAGTGAGTGGTGAATAAATGTGAAGTCCTAGGATGTTAGTATACACCACTGTATATAAACATTGTACACCTAGGCTACACTCAATATATTAAACAATTTTTTTCTTCAATATTAAATTAAACTTAGCTTACTGTAATATTGTAATTTTACTTTATAGACTTTTAAAATTTTTTTGACTCTTAGAATAACACCTAGTTTAAAATACAAATACATTGTACTGCTTTACAAAAATTTTCTTTCTTTATGTAATTATTCTATAAGTGTTTCTCTATTTTTAAAATGTGTGTGTGTATATGTGTGTGTGTGTATTTTAACTTTCAAACTTTTTTTTTTTTTTAAAAGTAGGACTCAAACACCCACATTAGCTTAGTCCTGTACAAGATCAGGGTCACTCAAATCATTGTCTTTCACCTCTTCATTTTGTCCCACTGGAATGCACTAAGCTGTTATCTCCTATGACAGCAGTGCTTTCTTCTGGAATAGCCCCTGCCCGAAGCTGTTTTACAGTTAACTTTAAAAAAAAAAAAAAAAATATATATATATATATATATATATATATATATATGGAAGGAGTACACTTTTAAATAATGATAAAAAGCATAGTAAATATTGAAACCACTAACAGAGTTGTTTATTATCAAGTATTATGTACCATACATAATTATATGTGCTATACTTTTATACTACTGAAAGGACAGTGGCTTTGTTTATGCCAACATCACTACAAGCACTTGAATAATGTGTCACGGTAGGGTAGCATGATGGCCACAAAATCTCTAGGTGATAAAATTGTTTCAGCTCTATTATAATCTTAAAGGACCACTGTCTTTATGTGGTTGGTCATTGACTGAAACATTACAGGATGCATTACCGTATTATGTTTACTTCTCTGCTTGGAAAACCCAGATTATTTTCAACACACAACTTCAGTTTAAAACTGGAATAAATATATCTTTCAGTTAGTATGTTGGTGTAATATAATGTTCTTGTTGTTGTTGCAGAAGAGATTTTCTCTTGATTTTAAAGTTATTTTTCAAATGACTGTATATTGGTGAGGTTAAGAACATGGGCTTTGGGGTCATTGTGATCTGAGGTTATAATTTGCCATATACTCTTTAGCACATTTCCCTCCTTCCCTCCCTCCCTCCCTCCCTCCCTCCCTCCCTCCCTCCCTCCTTCCTTCCTTCCTTCCTTCCTTCCTTCCTTCCTTCCTTCTCCTCCTCCTCGTTCTTTTCTTTCTTTCTTTCTTTCTTTCTTTCTTTCTTTCTTTCTTTCTTTCTTTCTTTCTTTCTTTCTTTCTTTCTTTTCTTTCTTTCTCTCTTTCTTTCTTTTTCTTTCTTTCTTTCTTTCTTTCTTTCTTTCTTTCTTCTTTCTTTCTTTCTTTCTTTCTTTTTCTTTTTTTCTTTCTTTCTTTCCTTCCTTCCTTCTTCCTTCCTTTCTTTCTTTTCTTCTTTCTCTTTCTTTCTTCCTTTCTTTCTTTCTTTCTTTCTTTCTTTCTTTCTTTCTTTCTTTCTTCTTTCTTTCTTTCTTTTCTTTCTTTCTTTCTTTCTTTCTTTCTTTCTTTCTTTCTTTCTTTCTTTCTTTCTTTCTTTCTTTCTTTCTTTCTTTCTTTCTTTCTTTCTTTTTCCCCCTTCCTTCCTTCCTTCCTTCCTTCCTTCCTTCCTTCCTTCCTTCCTTCCTTCCTTCCTTTTCTCTTTTTCTTCTTCTTTTTCTTATTTGCCATGTAATCTTTAGCAAATTTCTCTTTCTTTCCTTCTTTTCTTCTTTTTCTTTTCTTTCTTTCTTTTGACGGAGTCTCACGCTGTCGCCCAGGTTAGAGTGCAGTAGTGCTGACTGCGACCTCCACCTCATAGGTTCAAGCGATTCTCATGCCTCAGCCCCCTGAGTAGCTGGGATTACAGGCACATGCCACCACGCCTGGCTAATTTTTGTATTTTTAGTAGAGGCGGGGTTTTGCCATTTTGGCCAGGCTGGTTTTAAACTCTTGACTTCAAGTGATATGCCTGCTTTGGCCTCCAAAAGTGTTGGGGTTAGAGTCGTGAGCCACAGTGCCCAACTGCAAATTTCTTAATCTTACCGTACATCACATTCTTCATGTGTAAAATAATGACAACAACTGTACATAGCATATTGGGTTAAAGGATTACTATTACTTAAGTTAGCATCATTTGACTGAGCAATCACCATATTTTACCCTCACAAAAGGTTTGCTAATTAAGTAATGTTTTATCACCTCTATAAGGCAAATTAACAATTAAAGCATAAAAGATTCTATAATATTTTGGAAGCCACAAAGCTGCTAAGTGTGGACTTGAGATTTAAAGCCAGTGAGTCTCAGCCTGGAGATGGTTTTCTCCTACCCACTGTGATAAACTCCATCATGAAATCATGCAAGTATGAACAGTGGTGGGCAGTTGGGTACTGCTCAGCTATAATATTTTGAAGCCAGTTGTCCACCATTTTTAGGTATCTAATATTACTAACAGAAAGTCCTCTTTCAATATTATGTTTATTCATTCAATAAATATGTATTGAATACTTACTGTGTGCCATACATCTTCTTGGTCCAGGTTACAACAGCAAATAGAGCAGAGCTAACTCATTACCCTATGGTACTTACACTCTAGTGTATGGGGGGAGATAAAAAAAAAAGATAAATAAGTATAATATATAATATTTTAGATTATAGTAAATCATAAGAAAAATAGTATAGAAAGATAAAGGAATGGCAAGTGTCAATGAGTGTACTTTTAGATAAGCTATGAAATGATTTTAGTAATTGGCATAAACCTTGATGAGCCTCAGTTTCTTCATTCGGAACATAGGAATAGTGACATTTATCTTGCCAATCTTAAGAAATTATTTGAGAATCAAATAGACATGAGCACACTGTGTGAATTATAAATTTTTAAAAATGTGACATATCAAATATTGAATAAGTGTTTCATCTGGAGCAAATTTGGAGCAAAATACTTAGAAAAAAGAACAGTAGGAAAACCAGAAACTATGGAAAAAGCTAGATGCAATAAACACAGGGCAAAGTTAGGTAAGAGTGATGCTTTGAGTTAGAAGGTAATATCCTGCATGGCATGTATGTATGTTCAGAAATATTTTATGACTTAACTAGTCATACAGTATAATATATACCCATGGGTGATGGCATTACGGTACCAAATCAAACTTCTGGGTTTTATGACTTTCTGTATTTTATGTTTCCTGGCTGGAGAGGGCTGGGTCTGGGCCAGCACAGCATAGAAGAGTGATCCCTGAAAGAAAAACAAATAAATTGTGTCTCACTATGAAGTGAGCTCTGCTTCTGGAATGGTGATGTGAAGGTGTTGGACTGACTTCCAACAGCATTTCTTTGGAAAAAATTACAAAATGAAAACACAATCATTTAAAGTTTTTCTATGTTGTCCTAAGAGTATATAGCAAATGGAGAATCTTCATTCAACAAAATCTAAATCTCAGAATAGTTGAGGTCTGTGGCTTTTAAGCCACAATTTCCCACTTTTTCTCTCATCTCCTTTTTAAAGAAACTACCCTAGGTGGATGGGTCAAGAAAACAGGGGCTCCTTTTGCCCTCAACTTCTAGTCTGGGGTGATAATTTCAACCTAGGAAGGGGACAGGACCAGCATTTCTTATCTCTTCCAGCCCTGTGTTGTAGAAGTTCTATTATGGAAATGTAACAGAAAGGATGGGTCTTCCTTCCTGTTTCCAGTGATAGATGCTCCACGCAAAGCACAGCAGATAGAGAATACTCATTTTTGTCTCTGCCGTAGCTTAGTCATCTCGTATAGAAAGTCCTATATTGGCAGTAGTAAGCTGAGAGGACCAGAAGCTATCATACTCTTCCCTGTTTCAGCTGAGTCCCCAGTGCCTGCTCACAACAAGGGTATCACTAGGAGAGAGGTGAGTCACCATCCCCACCACCAGCTCTTACGCAGGGGCATAGAGAACCTGCCAAGGAGCAAAGGCAGGCCCACACACTCTGAAGGAACTTGAAAAATCAGAAGAAACTGGTCTTACATGAAACAGAGAATGAAGAAGTCTATACCTAGGGGTGTTCTAAAAGTCAATGCAGATATAGGTGGGGAGCAATGAAACAGCACTCATAGCTCCATGGTATCAGTGGCAACAAGGAAAATGACAAGGAAGCTAGAAGTTTTACAGACAGAATCAGGGAAAGAGACAGCCAAGAAAGGCCCTCCTGAAGTCACAGGCCACGTTGGGGTTGGGAAAACGAGACTGTGCACAAATGCTAGGCTACTTCCACTCAGGAGCCATCAGAGCTGAATCTGGGGTTGTGGGAGGGAGGGATGGGACTGAAAACATTTCTGCAGCTAGATGTAATTCAGCAAAGGGAGGAAGCTTTTACTGAAATAAAGGTCTTAAGCACTATCTCCAACCACTTACTGAACAATGACTACAATAAGTAAACTCAGGAATTAAGACTAGGAAGCCAGTCTTAATAACATCATATGCATGTCACATTCTGAAAAGACTATGAACATGTCAAAGGTTGCGCCTTCTCAGAAATAATCAGAAAGAGAAAAATCTCAGCTAGCAGTGCTTGCCTGTATGTGGGGAAAAAAATGTAAATTTCTTAAATAGGGATATAAACTCCGTGCTTCACACACATCTAACACTACAGAATAAACACCTAGCTCATCAATAGGGTTAAGTAAAAGTTTTGACCAATAAGTAGCATATGCCAACTAAGGGCCAACCTCTAGTTAATCAGGCAAAAAGACAAAACACACACACAACACACAATCTGTAAAGGGATACCAGAGGCGGAATACTGTGGGAAAAAATAGACTTCACCAAGTTAGTTGAGTCAAGACTTTAAACAAACTAAAAACAAAACAAAACAAAAAACACATCAATCACCAGGGATAGAGGGACTCTGTCTCTTAAGTCGTTACATTTATTTAAAAATGTCTCCTTTAAACAAAGAAAGTATGTGACATTCAAAGAAAAAGGAAAGTGTGACTCACATGCAGAAGATGAAAGAAGGAGAGGGGCAAAAGAAATTGCTTTTGAAGGGGTGCACATGTTGAACATAGCAGAAAAGGCTTAAAAGTATATGTGATAAATATGTTCCAATAACTAAAGGCAGCTATGTCAAAAGAAGATGTATTGACAATATCTCAAAAGTAGAAAAATATCTATAAGAAAATAGAAACTGGAAAATAAGAACCAAATGGAAATTCTGGAGTTGAAAAGTGTTATAACTGAAATGAAAACTTTACAAGAGAGGCTTAATAGTAAATTTAAGCAGGCAGAAGAATCAGTGAATTTGAAGATAGATTGATAAAGATTACATAATCTAAAAAAACAAAAAAACAAAAACGAACAGACTCTCAGAGAAATGTGGGACACAATTAAGTGTACCAAGATACATGTCATTAGAGTTATAAAAGTAGAGAAAAGCATTTTGAAATAATTATGGTTTAAAACTTCTCAAATTTAATAAAAAGCACCTATATATATTCAAGAAGTTGATGAAGTCCCAGTGAAATAAACCTAGAGATCCACACTCTGACATAGAGTGAAATGTTGCGGCTGGGCATGGTGGCTCATGACTGTAATCCCAACACTTTTTGGGGCCAGGGTTGGTGTACTGCTTGAGCTCCGGAGTTTGAGACCAGCCTGGGCAACATGGTAAAACTCTGTCTCTATTAAAAATAACAATAATAATAAGGAAATACTTAAAACCCAAGAAAAAATCTTGAAAGCAGAATAAAAAAGATGTATCATTTATGAAGGAATGCCAACAGGGTGGATCACGAGGTCAGGACATCGAGACCATCCTGGCTAACACAGTGAAACCCCGTCTCTACTAAAAATACAAAAATTAGCCGGGCATGGTGGCGGGCACCTGTAGTCCTAGCTACTCAGGAGGCTGAGGCAGGAGAATGGCGTGAACCCGGGAGGCGGAGCTTGCAGTTAGCCAAGATCCCGCCACTGCACTGCAGCCTGGGCAACAAAGCAAGACTCTATCTCAAAAAAAAAAAAAAAAAAAAAAAAAAAAAAAATTAACGGCTAGCTTCTAATTAGAATCAATAGAGGACAGGAGGCACGAGGATGTCACATTCAAAGTGTTGAAAACAGCTACTCAGGAGGCTGAGTTGGGAAGATCACTTGAGCCCAGAATGTCTTAGATATTTCAGTTCCCACATTTTCATAGGTTTTACCTTTATAATTGCACAATGTTATCATGATAAAAGTCTGTTAATAGAATAAGATCTAGTCCTGGCTCTGGGGAGAGTGTGGTAAAGAGTAACCATTGTGGAATATATTAAGAGCATTCTTCATTTAAAAAAAAAAATGACCTACTGTCTAAGGGAAATAAAAATTATATCCCAGAGACTGAAGCCCAGTAAAAGACAGAGGTTTAACTTAATCATTAGATTACATGAGGCTTCTCTTGCCCTACACCCTACTGCCACAGCAACAGGGATTCGGTGCAATAACGTAGGATACAGCTGAATGAGAAGTTCAAAGTCAGGAGGAGAGGCAAAACAAGGACACTAGGAGAACTTCATGACTTAGCACTTCCTACTGGGGAAAACACTAAACAAAGCTCAACATGTAGCTGATGAACATAAATCTCCACACTCAAGTCTATTTACTTCAGTTCCTATGATACAAATGTCCAGTTTTCAGCAAAAAAAAAATTAAAGGGAATATCATAAAGCTAGAAAATACACGCACAGATACGAGCATCAGAAGTATACTCAGATATAAATCAAATGTTGGCATTATTAGACATGGAATTCAAAATATATGTGAATAATGTGTTAAGACTCTAATGGAAAAAGTAGGCAATATGCAAGAATGAATGGGTCATGTAAGCAGGGGAATGGAACTTCTCAGAAATAATCAAAAGGAAATTCCAAAAATCAAAAATGCAATGATGGAAATAAAGAATGCCATTTGGAGGGGGGCTATCATAATACTGGTCAACGTAAAAAAGAGGGAGGAATGTCATCATCTTGGTAAAGAACCTACGGCTAACAAAAAATCTACACTTTAACATCATCATCATACTTAGTGGTGAGAAACAAAAAAAAGTACAATTAACATCGTGGTGAGAAACTGGATATTTCTTGACAAGTATCAGGAAAAGGCAAAGATGTCTGTCTTACCACTCCTACTTAATATCACATTGGAAGTTTTATCTGTTGCAACAAGACAAGAAAATAAAATATATACATACTGGAAGGGAAGAAATAATATTGTCTTTTTATTTAAAATAATATTATGTGAAAATTCTCAAAGAATCAACAGAAATACTCAGAAGTAATGATCAAATTTAACAAGGTTACAGGGCACAAAGTAAATACACGAAAGTCAAATGCTTTCCTATGTACCAGTAAGGAACATTCAGAATTTGAAATTAAAAAGTAAACCTTTTAAATAACTTCTACAATAATACCAAAAAAGAAAAATAAATACTTAGGTGTAAACATCACAAAATGTGTGTGTGTCATATGGAGAAAACTACAAAACTCTGATAAATCAAAGAAGACAAAAGTACATGAAGATATATTTCATCTTCATGGATTAGAATGTTCAGTACTGGTAAGATGTCACTTTCTCTCAACTTTGTCTATAGATTCAACATAATCCCAATCAGTATCTGAGCCAGGTATAGTGGAGATATTGATAAACGTATTTCAAAGTTTATATGGAAAGGCAAAAGATCTAGAATTGCCAATACAATACTGAAGAAAATATACTGTCCTGAAGAAAAACAAAAAGTTGAAGGATATTACATAAAAATTAAAACTAAATAAAGAATAAACCAGGGATTTTTGCTAGTAACGATGTATCAATATTAGTCCATTAAGGGTAACAATTATACTATAGTAAAGAAAGATATTAATCATAGGAGAAATTGGGTGTGAGGTTCACAGAAACTTTTTGTAGTATCTTTGCAAGTTTTTAGAAAATCTAAAACTATGATAATAATAAAATCTGTTAATTATATTAAAATGAAGAAATACTTTTTCAGATGAAATAAAAAAATACTTGAAAGAATTAATTATTGGCAGACCTGCATAAAGGAAATGTTAAAAGAAGTTCTTCAGTTAAGAAAAGCATGAGATGTTAATCTTTAGACAAATTATGCAAGAAAGAGGATAATAATGTTGGCCAGTTGTGTTTTTATTATGTAAGTTATAGTTCATAGTAGTTAAAATTAGCTGCATTAGGCATTTTCTGAATTTAAGAATCAAAGTTTAAGTGGAAGTAATTTTAAAACGTCTCTGACATAGGTTTCAAATCCCCTGCATTAATCCTCATGTTTATCAAACTAATGACTTATGCAAGTTTTGCAAACTCATTGGGGATAATTGAATTCTATTTGCACAGATACCAAAGCAGGTTGTCCTTGACTTGTTTTTGACAAACTACTGACCCTGATTGACAGGAAGAAGGAGATAATTAAACAGAAAATAAAATGCCTATTTTCTTAGGAGGCACAATGCTTGCTATGCAAAATAAATTATTCTTTCTTAATTTGGGGAATAATACTTAACATTTAAAAAATTGGCAGTTAATTTTAAGTTGAGAAAAAAAATTAAATGCTCTAGAGTATGTTAGTGTCAAACACTGTCAATCTAAGTGAAAATATTTTACTTGCACATTTATGTTCATTAGTGTCTTGAGAGAAAAGAGGAAAAAGTCTCTTTTGTCAAAGAAAGGAATTTTTGCCACCCTTTATAATAGTGCTGAGGAATATACTGACAGAAGACTTTTGTTTTAATTTGTTTATTAAATCTACCTCTATGTAGACAAAGTGAAGTGGAGATTTTTCTTCAGGGAATACATTTACTTGAATTAGTCATAATGTTTTAGAAATTGTGTATTTTGTTGGGCAAGCATACCACTTCATACCCCTAAAGAATAAATGTTTTCAAGGAATAGTACTGTTCTTTTGCCTAGAGCTAAATACAAAATAAAAACTATTTTTTAAAAAAACAAACACTTTCAACAAAACAGTGAAATTAGGGAGAGGAATACAAGAACTGATAGGGCTATCATACTATCCTTTCTCTCATCTTGCTCAGAATATTCTATGGGAAATACATCTTTAATGTACTTACTTGGTCCTCAGAGGGTGTGAGCGGGATTACAGGAGATGATATTATAATACATATATAAATGTACTTTGTTTGATGACTCTTAATCATCCCTCAAGATCCAATATCACCTCCTCCATGTGGTCTCCTTTCTTTGGATGTCCCCAGCATTCTACTTATTCCAACAACACAGCTAGAGACATATTGTATGCATTTACCCATCCAAGTCCTCTGCACCCAATAGGAGGTCAGTAAATTTTGAATGTGAAAATCTCTCAGTATAAGAGTAACGAGATTAGGGACTGTGTTTTATTAACTTTACACTTACTTAAATAAACTTTATTTATTACTTACTACTGTATCTTCAGCTTCTAGTATTTTCCTACACTTAATAGATGTTAAAAGATGCCTATTAAGTGGAAGAACCGATAAAAAATTATAAAGGCTATAATGTGCAATGCATAATTATTATTACTAACTCAAATCCAAGTTTGCTGTGCTCCAAAGATCTTACCAGCTAACCTGTATTATTACCTGTTATGTCTCTCCTGCCTATCTCTGGTTCATTAACTCCAATCTTAAATTTTTATTACATACTTTCTAAATACCTTCTGGGTATTCTCCCAGCTTTACAGAATAAAGACATATAAATTGAATTTCTATCTACATGTCTTCATTTTTGTTTTTGATAAGGAGACCTCAATTTAATTATTCATCATTCCATGAGTTCTTTGGCTTCGTCCTTTTTTTTTTCTTTGCCAACACTTTCTATTTATAGTCAAGTCGGCTGAGGATATTTCCACATTCTCACTTCTGACCTTTTTCCATTCCTTCTGGAAATATGTAGTTAAGTCCTCAAAATCTTTTATCCTGGACTTCTGTTAGTTTTTCTACTTGCTTTAATTTTCTTGAACTACTACGTGAATCTTGTACCTGCTCTCTCTGCTTCCAATTCCTCAACTACCCTCTCCAATTCAGTCTGTTCTTTTAAAATACAAGCACAGCTCATTTTTATTGTTTTGCTTTATTGTCCTTCACAAATATTTTGTGATTTACAAATCTAAGATTTATGGTAAATACTACATCAAACAACACTATTGGTGCCATTTTTCCAACAGCACTTGCTTACTTCATATTGTCTGTGTTACATTTTGGTCAATTTCACAATATTTCAAACTTTTAAATTATTATTGTATCTGTTATGATGAATTGCAATCAGTGATATTTGATGTTACTACTATGATTGTTTTGGGGCATCACAGATTGTGCTCACATAATATAACAAGCTTAATTGATAAATGTTGTATCTGTTCTGACTTCTCCACTGACTGGCTGTTTCCACATTCTACTCCCTCTTCTTAGGCCCTCCTATTGCCCAAGACACAACAATATTGAAATTAGACCAAGTAATAACCCTATAATGTCCACTAAGTGTTCAAGTGAAATGAAGAGTTGCATGTCTCCCACTTTAAATCAAAAGCTGGAAATGATTAAGCTTAGTAAGGAAGTTATGTTGAAACTTGAGACAGCCTGAAAGCTAGGATTTTGTGCCAGTCAAGTTGTAAATGCAAAGAAAAAGCTCTTGAATGAAATTAAAAGTCTACTCCAGTGAACACATGATGATTAAAAAGGGGAAACAGGTTGTTGTTGATACAGAAAGAGTTTTAGTGGTTTGGAAAGAAGATTAAAACAGCCAGCACATTCCCTTAAACCAAAACCTAATCCAGAGCAAGGCCCTAACTCTCTTCAATTCCATGAAGGCTAAGAGAGGTGGGAAAACTGCAGAAGAAATGTGTGAAACTAGCTGAGGTTGGTTCATGAGGTTTTAGGAAAAAAAGCCATTTCCATAACCTAAAAGTACAAGGTAAAGTGGCCAGTGCTGATGTAGAAGCTGCAGCAAATTATCCAGATTTATCTAAGATAATTGATGAAGATGACTACACTAAAGAACAGATTTTCAGTGTAGATGAAACAGCCTTCTATTTGAAGCAGATGCAATCTAGGAATTTCATAGCTAGAGAGGAGAAGCCAATGTCTGGCTTCAAAACTTCAAAAAATAGCCTGACTCTCTTTTTACAGGCTAAGCACCTGGTGACATTAAGTTGAAGCCAATGCTCTTTTGCCATTTTAAAAATCCTAGGGCCCTTACGAATTTATCACGCTCATTAGTGTATAGCCTACTATTGTTCCTGGTCCATTTATAAGCCCTCTCTTGTTTTATTGAGTTACTATTTTTTTTTTTTTACCCCCATCGCCATCCCTACTTAGCCTTTCAAGAGCAACCATTTTAAGAGGTTTAATATATAGTCTTTTATTTGTATGTGTTTTCATCAAGCTATCATTATATAAAGACATTGTGCTTTGGAACACATTCTGTCTTTTCCTTTTTCATTCAATATTATGTTTTTTTGCAGCATTATTACATTTCAGTGTGTGTAACTAGTCTGCCACTTCCAACGGCTGCATCTTACTCTCAATCCACTATTTACACCACAACCTGAGTAATCTTTAAAAATGCAGATCTGATCATGTCATGCAGCTAATACCTGTTGGTTATTTTTCATTTGACTTAGGATATATTCAAAACCTCTTACCATGTCCGTAAGTCCTTGCAGGATTTGGGCAGTGTCTGGTTAGTAAGTCTCATCCTTTGCCTTCTTCCGTTTGGTCTCTGCGTTTCAACTAGACTGGCCTGAACTTCCTCACATCTGTTACACTTCCACTTTTGTTACGCCGAGCAATCTTTCTTCCTTCAAGTATCAGTCTAAATTTTGCTTCCTCAGATAAGTATTCCATGACTGGCCATTTAAATCAGAAGCTCAAGGTTTCAAAATTCTTTAACATTATTTACTTTTGGTTACATTTTACATAATTTTTACTTACATTTGTTTATGTGTTTAATTATTTAATATTTGTCTTACCCACTACCATGTCAGTTCCACAAAGGCTGGGGCCAGGTTTATTTGTTCCTCATTCAATTTTGTTTCTACCTATGGGAAGCCCTCAATAAAAAAGTGTTCAATGATTTACATGGGAGAAGTGACTTAACCAAGGTCATAAAACCAGTTAAAGTCAAATCTAGGCAAGAACTCACCATCTTTCCTCTTCCGGTACTTGGCATTCTTTGAACGTATTGCCATTCTGTATTCTTATGTCCATTCCAGCTCTTTACACACAATAGGTGCTCAATAACTACTTCAGGAAAACATAAAATAAAGAAATTATGGATTATATAGCTTTATATCTATATCAAAGAGCTACTGGCTATTATGTGAAGTATCCAGATCTTTAAATTTATTGGTAAAATAGTTGTCATTGATATTCTTGTTAAGTTTGTAAGTAGACATTACATTTTCTTTACATTTTTAGCAGGTTGAAGACTGCTTCCTCTGATGTCATAAAGTCAGAGAGACACATTGAGAATGTCTGTTAAAATGTGTCTGTCAAAAATGTGTAGAAAATGTGTGTCTGTTAAAATGTGTAGAAAATTCTGTTACAATGTGTAGCAGGCTAAGTATGAATGGAGAGAATCAATCTATGCATGTTCAGTTTGTGCTCATTTTAATAAGGAAAGAAACTAATGACCTCTTAAAAGAGGATGGATGGATTCACGTTTTTAAGAATATTTCCTTTATCTCAGGAGAACTAGAATAATAACCTAATCCTTCTTTCTAACTTGGTCTCTGCCTGAGCAGGTTTTATCAATGGACCTGTCACAATACTGAAATTGGGAGCTCTTGCTATGTTGTTCCGTAAATCTAATTACCTTGACTTGAATCCCTGCCATTTCAGCAAACAAACAAACAAACAAGTTTTTAAAGAAGGTATCAAATAGCATTTTTAAATTTAATTTTTAGTGGTATCAGGGAAATTGATACGTGTTCACCAAGTGATAGAAATCTGTATTACTCATTGAATCTATGCCTTGAAAACTAGAAAGGATCTTTTTTCTGTTATCCTAAAAGAGTTAAATAACTTGGAAAGTAGTACTATTTTGACTGGTGGCAGTACTGGTAGGTAAGTAAATAAAAAATATAGCCCCATTTCAGTGTGACTGAAGGTGGCAGATCAATGAGACCTTTGTCCCATTAGCCTGCCCTAGTATCCGATATTCCTCAAGCTGAGACTTAATTCTTACGGTTTCAGGTACTGTATTTACAAGATGCTCTCATTCACAAACTTCTATGAAATTTTCAGGGCTTACCCATTTATTAGTTATTTTAACTTCACATCATAACTCTGACATCCCAGAGAAGTTATTGTTACCCAATGATAGAAAAGAAAACTGAATCTCAACAAAATTACATAATTTGTTCAAGAAATTACAGCAAACACTCAGGCCTTCTGACTTGGGTCTAGAGCCTTTCACCAACATCAAGTAGTACTAATGATATTTTACTGTAAGTATTTTAACTGGGGCTATTTTGAGTTCATTTCCATTATCTCATCTCTTCTTCCTTCCATACAATTTTTTTTCAGAATCTTCTTGTTTATGTTGTTTTATAAGCATCCCTCCCACCAGGGGCTGGCTTTGTTTTGTATGATTTATTTCTATTGGCTCCATCATGAGTTCTCAGGGCACTTGGAAGATCCTGTTGTAAAGCTCTAAAGCTGTTGACAGTCTTTGTCTGTTGGGATTCGAAAAATAAAGAAGTCAGCATTAGGTAAGATAAGAATAAAATTAAAGAAGAAAAAAGAGTAGGTGGAACCTTTGCCTCTGACCTCTGGGTAGTTTTAAAGATGAGTTCAAGGGTAGAGTTGCAGCTGCAGATATGAAGCAGAGAGGTGGCAACTAAAGGGAGAGAGTGAAATGTAAATTTGCATTAGTTGACTTTTTTTAGTGACAGTGGCAATACCCCAATATAGTAGTCTCAGATAAAACAGGAAATTCACTGGATCGTATTACAAGATGGGAAACCAGAGTGGGTTAGAGTAAATGGAAGCTGGCATAGGGACAGCTGTGGCCAGGGACTTAAATGGCAGTGAGAGGTGACAACGTGCTGGCGGCCTTCACTCGCTCTCAGCGTCTCCTCAGCCTCGGCATCTGCTCTGGCCACACTTGAGGAGCCCTTCAGCCCGTCACTGCACTGTAGGAGCCTCTCTCTGGGCTTGCCGAGGCCAGAGCTGGCTCCCTCCACTTGCCAGGAGGTGTGGAGGGAGAGGCGCAGGCGGGAACCCGGGCTGCGCACAGTGCTCCCGGGCCAGCAGTGAGTTCCGGGTGGGCGAGGGCTCCACGGCCCGCACTCGGAGCCGCAGGCCAGCACCACAGACCCAGGGCAGTGAGGGGCTTAGCACGCGGACCAGCAGCTGCAAAGGGTGCCTGGGTCCCCAGCACTGCGGCCTGCCCACGCCAGGCTGGAATTCTCACAGGGCCTCAGCCTCCTCCTGGCCGGGCAGGGATGGGGACCTGCAGCTCCCCATGCCTAAGCCCCCCATGCCCGAGCCCCTACCCCCGCCTCCCCTTCCCCGCCTCCCCGCCCAACCTCCCCCGGCCCTGCCTCCCCCGCCTCCGCAGCCCCGCCCTGGCCACCCCTGCCCCCCGCTCCCCTGCCCCGGCCTCACCCCCCCCCACCCCTCCACCCCCCCCCCCCCCCCCCGCCCCCCCCCCCGCCTCCCCACCCCCACCTCCCCACCTCCCCACTACTGCCCTGCCATGGGTTCCCGCACAGCCCCAGCCTCCCCAATGGGCACTGCCCCTGCTCCACAGTGCCTGGTCCCATCCACCACCCAAGGGCTGAGGAGTGCAGGCACGTGGCCCCGGACTGGCGGGCAGCTCCACCCTCAGCCCTGGGGCGGGATCCACTAGAGGAAGCCAGCTGGGCTCCTGAGTGCTGTGGGGACTTGGAGAACTTTTCTCACTGGAAGATTGTATATGCACCATTTAGCACTCCGTGTCTAACAGGGGTTCATGGATGCACCAATCAGCATTCTGTATCTAGCTAATCTGGTGGGGACTTGGAGAACCTTTATGTCTAGCTTAAGGTTTGTAAATACACCAATCAGCACCCTGTGTCTAGCTAATCTAGTGGGGACTTGGAGAACTTTTATGTCTAGCTGGAGGATTGTAAATGCACCAATCAGCACTCTGTGTCTAGCTCAGGGATTGTAAACACATCAATCAGCACCCTGTCAAAATGGACCAATCAGCTCTCTGTAAAGTGGATCAATCAGCCCCATGTAAAATGGACCAATTAGCAGGATGTGGGTGGGTCCAGATAAGGCAATAAAAGCGGGCTGCCAGAAGCAGCCAAGGGCAACCTGTTCAGGTCCCCTTGCAGGCTGTGGAAGCTTTGGTCTTTTGCTCTTTACAATAACTCTTGCTGCTGCTTGCTTTTTGGGTCCATGCCGCCTTTATGAGCTGTAACAGTCACTGCAAAGGTCTGCAGCTTCACTCCTGAAGCCAGCGAGACCACGAACCCATGGGGAAGAACAAACAACTCCAGACGCGGGGTCTTTAAGAGCTGTAACACCGCGAAGGTCTGCGGCTTCACTCCTGTCAGCGAGACCACGAACCCACCAGAAGGAAGAAGCTCCAGAGGCATCTGAACATCTGAAGGAAAAGATGCTGGACACACCATCCTTAAGAACTGTAACACTCACGGGGAGGGTCCACAGCTGCGTTCTTTAAGTCAGTGAGACCAAGAACCCACTAATTCCGACACAGCAGGATGGTGTCCACTTCTCATTTTTACTCTTATCTGTAGAGTATCTTACTCTACTCTTTTTTCTAATATTGTACAAAAGGAATGTGAGATTTTTTTTAAATAGACTTCAGTTTTGGAACCAAGGTCCTTAATTATATGAACAAAGATGAAAGGAATACTCTGTTCCCAACTAGATTTTGAAACTTTCAGGAGAGGACTCTGATAGATCCATGTTGAGTCGTACACCAAGTCCTTGGACCCATGAACATGAATAGGTGTGATGAGTTTTGTGTTAGACCAATTTGTAGCCAGGGAGGTAGGGCTGATTTCCATAGGAAAGAGGGCTGGTACATTTATTGCCTTTTGGACCAAGTATAGACTACGAAAACTTAGTATGCTATGCCTAGGGCTTGGAATTTATCCAACATGCATGGTTTATTTATTGGAACATTTAAAGTGGGAACATAATCAGCTTTACCTTTTAAAAAGACAGTTCTGGCAGCAATGTAAAGGATGAAATCGAGATTTTTAAAGATAAGAAATAGGTGTCGCCGGGCATGGTGGCTCACGCCTGTAATCCCAGCACGTTGGGAGGCCGAGGCGGGCCGATCATGAGGTCAGGAGATTGAGACCATCCTGGCTAACATGGTGAAACCCCGTCTCTATTAAAAATGCAAAAAAATTAGCGAGGCGTGGTGGCAGGCGCCTGTAGTCCCACTTACTCCAGAGGCTGAGGCAGGAGAATGGTGTGAACCTAGGAGGCGGAGCTTGCAGTGAGCAGAGATCGCGCCACTGCACTCCAGCCTGAGTGACAGAATGAGACTCCAAAAAAAAAAAAAAAAAAAAAAAAAAGGTGTCTTAGGATACTATTCTGCAAGTGTAGATTAGATGTAATAATGTCCGGGTGGGGTGGCTCATGCCTGTAATTCTAGCACTTTGAAAGGCCCAGGTGGGTGGATGACTTGAGCCCAGGACTTTGAGGCTAGCCTGGGCAATGTGGTGAAACCTTGTCTCTTCAAAAAATACAAAAATTAGCCTAACATGGTGGCATGCACTTGTGGTCCCAGCTACTCAGGAGGCTGAGGTGAGAGGATCACTTGAGCCCAGGAAATCAAGGCTTCTGTGAGCTGTGATCATGCCACTGCACTCCAGCCTGAGTGACAGAGTAAGAGTCTGTCTCAAAAAAAATAAAAAATAAAAAAAATGCAATGATGATGATAAGAAAGTCTTTAGCAATGGTTGTACAGAGGAGTGGTTTGAAGATAGTATCTACAAGATTATCAGGGCTTGAAAATGAAGAGGAGGAGGATAAGAGAAAGAAACAACTCTCATTTCTAACGTGTGATCGCATGGACGACAGCATAGTTCACAATGCATGGAAAACATGAGGAAAAGCAGATTTGGCAACAATTATTTAAAAATTAATTATAAAATCTTCCCAATTTTAACCTCTGGATGACTGGGTAGAGATTATAAGCTTTCCTGTGCCCAGAGAAAGAATGATTATTAGTCCTGTTTTCCTTTGTCTTCAGAGTAACTGAGATCATTCAGCAGATCAAGTCCGGTCAAAGAGTAACTACAAACCTTTCAAAAGTCTCTGTGACCAGAGTATCAATAAGGATAATGCTTTGATGGACAGCCTCTTTCTCTCCAGTCATTGAACCTCAGATCTGTATCCTCTGTGATTCCTTTGTCATAGAGATGCTAATTCTTCAAATAATACATGTTTTTTTCTTTGCCCATATATGTGTATATGCCTAGGTATGCGTGCATAACTGCACACGACTTTTAAAATCTTCTGCAAATGTTGAAGTAATGAGTAGCAAGGGCAGACCTGGGAAATATGTCTATAAGGACCTCAATGAAGAGCTTAGAAATTGCCCATGATCAGACATCTGAGATTGTGAAATAGTCTCAGATCTGATTTATATAATTCTTGGTGGATTTATTTACTCATAATGTTCTCCCGCTCATGCTGTCACAGAATCTGTAATAATCACTTAGGATTACCAGCTGTATTATGAGATCATCTTGACTTTGTTAAATATTTCTCTTTTTAACTAGATCTCATTATTGTAAGCTATACAATGCATTTGGTTTTCCCCTCAGTATTTGTACCCATAAATAATATGAAGAATGTTAGCACATACTTTCTTAGCAACAGTTTTCATAAGCTACCCAGTATGATCTTGTAAGGCTCTGACATTAAGCAGTCTCAATTATTTTTACCTGAAGGATTTGTGTTTCTGAGTATCTCTCTTCTAGACCAGGGATTGGCAAACTATGGCCTATAGGCTATTTGTTTTTTGTTTTTTTCTTTTTAGTGTTTCATTGGAATACAACCATGCGCATTTTTTTGTGTATTATTTATGGATGTTTTAATGCTGTTAATGGAAAAATTGAACAGTTTTTACAGAAGCCAATTAGCCTGAAAAGCCTAAAATATTTACTAGCTCATCCTTTGTAGAAAAGATTTGCTGACCTCTGTTGTAAACTACGATTTGGTAATAGGAGATCCTGATGATAACTAACATTCTCATTAAATGCATATAAGATTGAAATGATGAAATACTCTCTCGGGTATATACCCAGAAGTGGGATTGCTGGATCATACAGCAATTCTCTTTAATATGTCAAAGAGATATCTGCACTTTTATGTTCGTTGAGGCACTAATCCCAATGACCAATATATGAACTCTACCCTAGTGTCCATCGACGGAGGAATAGATAAATAAATTATAGTCTATACACAATAGTATTAGAGATACACTATTTAGCCTGAAAAAAAAAGAAGAAAATTATGTTCTTTGCAATAACATGGTGGACCATGCTAAGTGAAATAAGCCAAACACTCATATGTGGAATCTCAAACAATGGAATTCATGGAAACAGAAAGCAGAATGGTGGTTAACAGAGGCTGGGGATGGGGGAAACGGAAAGATGATGGTCAAAGGGTACAAAGTTTCTGTGAGATCTACTGAGCAATGAGTTAACTGTAGTTAATAATAATGTGTATTTCCAAATTGCTAAGTATTGAAAATATTTTCCACCTTCCTTCTGTCAGCTTCTTTTCTTCATGCAATTCAAACTTTTCCATGATGTATACAACTTTTGTTGAACTTGCTGCATCATATTCACAGACAGTGGT